GGTGATCAGTCCTTCCTCTACCGATAACTCACCCCATCCTCTACTCTAGTCCGACGGCCACTTCTTTGGAGATGGGCATCATCATTGAGGTACCTCCTCGCATCAGTTAGGCAGGTCCAGTCCATGCCTCCCAGGACCCCATCATGTCGAAAGTGGCTCCCTCGCGAATCGTTCCTTTCAAGTGGTAAATTTTGTGGATCCGGCCTCTTCCTTCTCAAGAGAGTTGGGACTCTCTATTAATTTGCGAGTGCAGTTACGAAAACCTCGCGGTTAGTCCCCGGAACGATTGTAATGCTCCGGCAGGGTGGTGTCAATGCCCTGTGGTGGTGGCTGACTCCACCGGGTACCTCGCCCCAACCTTCCCTGCGGACAGTGCTGCTTAACTTAGTGCGAGCAGCCTAGGTCCATCCCAAAAGGCCAGGCCGCCCCTCAACGGTGGCGTGTGGTTAGAGAGGGTCATTAGGACTAGAATAACAAACTTTAGGCCCATATCGACGCCCTGGACTTCTAGGAACTCAACGCGAGGCGCAATTTGAACCCCCCGACTAGAGCTCGTTGTCGGAGCTGGTTCCGGATGTCGAGTATCGCATTGATACCTTGATCCTTTAACCTGGTGCCCTACTTACGAGGGGCAGGTCGCGCTTGGACATATCCCTGAGGGGTAGCGGTTCGGGGTTCGCAGTGCGTGCACCTCTATCCCCCTCATGTTGAGGTCTGAGACTAAAAGGTAAGGAAAGCTCAATCTCTTGCTATTTTCATGGTCGGCCCGACAACCTTTCTTCAAGTTGCCTAGGGTCCCCTGTTTATGCAATGCAATTTCCAATTCTCAGGCAAACGCTCAGTCCAATGCTCTTTCCAGTTTTTTCTCAAGGCTGATTCTCATGGCTGGTCCGACAGCCTCTCCTCAAAAGGGCCACCTCTTGTGGCCGACCCGACGGCCCCTCTTTCAATAGGCATTTCTCATGGCCGACCCACCGGCCCACCTTCAATCCTCAAACTTCACTTTCTCAATAGCCATTGCTTATGAACGTCCCATCGGTCCATGTTCTTCTCAGTTTTCCACCCTCCTTTTATCCTGCCCTCCAATTCTTTTCTTCCCAATCTCATTGCGCGGCTGTTTTAGCGACCATCCCCTCGGCCTCTTTCTTCCGATTCCATTCCCTTCGTTCTTTCTCATGGCTATTTCAATAGCCGATCCACCGGCATTTTCCATCCACATTGATTTCTCTCATCCGTCCTCATGGCTTATTTTAATGACCGACCCAGCGGCCTTTTCCATTTCACATCCCTTTCATTTTTCCTCATGGTTATTTAAATGATCGTCCCACCGACCTTTCCCTTCTTCATGGCTATTTCACATGACCGACCCGACGACCTTCTCCCTTTTTTTTTTTTTTTTCCCTTTTATCCTTTCTCTTCCATCCTTCCTCATGGCTATTTCAATGGCCGACCCACCGGCCTTTTGCATTTCATATTACTCATTCCAACTCATTCTCAATCAATCTTTCTCAAACAGTCACGCAGGGGACCCCAGCGCCTATTTCAAAGGAAATGACCCCTGGTTAGAGGCCATTTTTGAACAACCTGATCAGGGTCATTATCTTCCAATCTCAAGTCGAACAGCCTAGTTAGGGCCATTATTTTCCAATTTCAAGTCGAATAGCCTGGTTAGGACCATTCTTTTCCAATTTCAAGTCGAACAGCCTGGTTAGGGCCATTCTTTTCCAATTTCAAGTCGAACAGCCTGGTTAGGGTCATTCTTTTCCAATTTCCAAATGCAAGCATTCGAGGAGGTGGGCTTTTGAGGACACGGATCCGATCTTTTACTAGGGGGGATTAGGAGGTGGCCATCTGCTCAGTTTTTAGCGTGTCGTTTCCTTCATCATTTTCTTAGCACAGCTTGTTGGTTCCTACATGCTCACACATGCACCCGGCTTAAGAGTCTAACACTCGAGCTGAGGTTTTTAACCTTAGGCAGTGCCAGCCCACCCGACCGTTCAATCCTAAATCCAAAAGGGGGTCCTTCTGCCCTCTTCACTCTTGCTCACTCTCACAACCTCGTCCCTTGCGACACGACTCAGTGTTGGTTGGGTTAGGCTTTTAGGGAAGGACATCCTTGTGCCGCTCAACCCATAGGTTCCCTAACCCATCTTGCACTCGACTGACACTCAAGGCTTGTACGTGTGGCCAGAAAGAAACTCATAGTCTTTGTGGCAAATACAGCTTGCCCCATTAAACCGTTCTCAGCCAATTGATTCTAGCTAGTCTCTCATCCATGTTGCTAGGCAAACTTCAAGTCAAAAAGTGGTTCATACAAAAAGTTGCTCAGCCCACCCGTCCCAACTAGTCTCATGTTCATGTTCCTTGGCAACCTTCAAATCAAAAAGCGGCTCACACAAAGAGTTGTTCAGCCTACTGCTTTCCCTACCCACTTATGCTAAGTCTCAGTCACTTTTTCCTTGCAAGAGTCTCATTTACTTGTAACCAGATTACTAGTCTGCCCTCTTGCCCTAATCCCTGTTGCTAGGGTCAGTCCTCTACCGTTTCGCTCCCCTCTCATCATTGTCTCCTGGGGATGCTTCGACGCCTAGGCCATAAGTCCGAATTTCGTCTAATTTTTTTACGACTAGTTGTAATTCTTCTTCACTGAAAAAGTCCAGTGGAGTGACCGCTTCCCTGGCTGCCATCAACTTCCTGGCTGCCATCAACTTCCTGATCCATTCGCGCTTGGTCACATTGGCCCACTGCTCAAACCAGTGGCCAGTTGTGGGCCCAAATTCCTCTACCCACCTGGAGGGTCCGTTCCTTGGCCTGCTTGTTGACGGCTGCCCTTCAGCCCTTGGCCTTGAAATCTCATCCGTTTCATCGCCACTATTGATGGCGATGACCTCCTGTATGTCATCGTCATTCTCACTTTCTTCCTCCCTCACATGACTGAATTCGTACGTAAGATTCTCAGGGTTCAGGCCGTGGGGGACGTCTCTTCTTTGCTCATGTGCTTCTTCCAAATCTCTGGGTGCCCTTTCATAACTGTCCTGCCTACCTTGTTCATCACTCAAGCTCTCTCTTTCTGGCCCCTCTTCCTCACAACTGCCATGCATACTTTGCCTTTCCTCATGCCCTCTATCTTCATTGCTACACACATCTTGTCTCTCTCCTCCCCCTTTCATTGTCGTCTTGCATACTTAGCCTTTCTTCTTTCCTTCTTTGTCCCACTTCTTGCTCCTCCCTCTCTTCTTCAGATAACGGTTGTAATTTTTCGCCTTCCTTAAGGGACGAAGGTTTGCGGGCCAACATCTTTCTCTTTCTCCTCCCTAGTGTCCATCTCGGCTGTGACCCAATAAACAATATCGGTCTTTCCCTGTCCCGTGGTCTTTTGGACCTCTGCCACTCGTCTTCGAGGGTCAGGATATCGCGGTTGGCATCGTTTTCGTTATCGAGTTCCATCCTGTCTTGTGCTTGTCCTGTGCCTGTCATAAAAAAAAAAAAAAAACGAGAGCCCCCAGTCCACATTCCCAAGGCGGAGCCCCATCCCAGGTCCCATTCCCTCATGATGCCGGAGTTGCCCGAATTTCCAGGGATGCTCCCCTTTTGCCCAGTTTCTGGTCATGCCCATGAATCACTTTGTACCTCCCTTGATTCCCATGCATTTTTCTCGAAGTCATGATAAATTGCCCCAGACAATCATACTGGTGCCCTCCATCCTCCCAAAACTATGATACAATGTTTCAGGTATTTCTTCCCGTATCCCCCCCCTCGTCAAAAACTATGGTACAATGCCCCAGCCGTCTTACGTAATTCATGCAGTCCATTCCCATAGACACAGTTCAAAAACCCCTCCACACAAAAACAAAATACATCATAGTTAAGATTTTTGTGGGTGCCTCAGTCGGCTTGTTCCCCGTTTTCCTTGTCTTGAGCCTCTTGCAACCACTGTTCCACTGGATCCCTGCTTAGAAATCTGACCTACCGTTGTCCTGGAAATGGTCCTTTTATCTTGGTCACGTCCAAATCTTCCAACTCGAAAGTGTTCATTCCCAGTCTCTTGGCGACCCGGTAGGGGCCCTTGAATCTTCTCCCCAGTTGTCCTGACCAAGTACTTTCTAGTGCGGAATTCCTTACTATGACCATTTCCCCCAATTGCAGTGGTTCTTTCCTGATGTTCCACAACTGATCCCATCTTGTCTTGTCCTTCATCCTGCTATCCAGAACCCGGCTCACCACTTCATCCATTGCCTCCTCATTTTGGACAATCTGCTGGCACCTGACCTCAATTAACTGTTCCATTGTCAAGCGCGGGTCCTTATCCAGCCTATCCCAAGTCGGTATTAGAGCTTCTATTGGGAAATCAATTTCCCTCTCATACCATAATTCAGTCGGGATACATCCTGCGGTCCGTTTTGGAGTCCCGTTCTCTGCGAACACTGCTTGCTTAAGGTACTTAGGCCAGTTCCCAAGGTCGTCCGCTGCTAGCTTCGCGATCGTGTTCTTAAGCGTCCGGTGCCCTCTCTCCGCGGGTGCGTTAGCTTTTGGGTGGTGCGGCTCAATTAACTTGATGGGCACCCTGAGTCTTTTGCATGAACTCAGCACGTCCTGGTTCACGAATTCGGTCCCATTATCGGCTATAAACCTTCTGATAAACGGGTGCTTCAGGTAGAAGTCCTCGATCCATTCAGCTACTGTCAGTGTCATTTTCTTCTTAAGATCTACTGCTCCCACAAACCCACTAAGATTATCTATGGCGTCAAGTATGTACCTGTACCCTTTCGCAGATACCGACATAATCACGAGATCGAGGTGGACCAGATGTCTTGGTCCTAGCACTCATGTTGGTCTCAAAGCGCAACTGCAAGCATTCTTCGTTATGCTTCTGCCACAGCATTGGTGAAGCCCATAGGAGTTTCTTGCACCTGCAGATGCCCCACCGGGGTATGCATAGCCGTGTAGGGTCTATCCCGGACGTCCAGCGGGAGCTGATCGTATCCAGAATAGAGATCTACCTGCGAGTAAATGCTTCGCCCAACGTGGGAGTCTGCCAGCAGATCGGCTTGAGAAAGCGTTCCGGATGGTGACAATTAGTTTCTGCAAATCCTGGATCCACCTAAGCGACTTGTTAGGTTTCTGGAACACAAACCATCTATTCGCATATGGTGACGCTGTAGGTTCTGCCACAAAGGAGTCCATCTTTGTCCTAAGCAGTTTCGTTACTTCCCCTGCTACAAAGTCGTAAGCAGGCCCCTTGTCGTTCCAACATTCGTGCTCGACTGTGTGGCTCCTGACCGGGAGTATCAATTTCGCATCTAATCGTCCCTTCTGGTGGTCATTGAAAGCAAAGGCTAGGTGGAAATCTTGGTATGCTTTCTTGATCAATCGTGCCTCCTGCTCCGTCAGGAATCCCTCCACTCCTATCTCCATGGTCTCTGCTACTTCGTTTGGTATTCGGTGACCCTCCGTTGCCCTTCTTTCTCTGATCACCCGGAGGACTTCTTCCTCCCGTTCCATGACCTCTTCCTTTGTTGTTTCTAGCAGTACCGAGACGGGCTTAGCCTTTTTCCCTACTGACTTGTATTTGCGAGCGCTTCCTTCCGGGATCTTTCTCCTAAAAAAATGAACGACCGACATCGTCCGTGGTGCTTCGGCAATCTGAGGTTGAATACTGAGCAGCTTCCCATTCAGGCAGTAGCCTCTTTGGATTTCTCCTTCAAATTTAGCGAGTGCGGCCAGATCCACACTCACTTTGTGATATCGGATGGCCTTGATGAGGTGCAGGAGGTCCGGGACCTCCAGTGTTAGCCCGAGCTCCTCATCTCGAGCCTCCTTTGGTCTAGGCAAGCTGACTCCCAGTTCAACCTCCGTCTCTTTCTCTACTATCATTACTCCCAGGGCCTCATTCTCCTGTCTCCGGTTTTTCTGTGGTAGCCCCATCTTGATCCATTCCTTCTGGTTGAACGCCTCCTCGATCATAATCTCTACCCTCTCTCTCATTCCTTCCATCCGTGCGAAGGCCCCCTTTCCGCCCGTCCCGATGAGATGGAGCATTTCACCACGTCTTGTCACTGGGTCTTCTATGTCTACCATATACGCTCCATCATGTAGATGCATGCCGATCATTTCCACGCTCGGGCACCATGGCCTTCCAAAGATTTCGTCGTGGTCCATTTCATCCATGACGGTCATCCGTTGGAATTACCAAATGAATTCCCTGAACCCGACCTTGACGTATCCGGAGAAGGGAATTTCCCCTCCTGCCCCACGGACGCTTCCTGTCGTTTCTTTGTTTACCGGGCATCCCGTAATCTTGGCGAAGTCTTTTCTAATGAGCGTTATTTCAGCCCCACCGTCTACAAGCGCATCGGTGTGGTGGCTTCCAATCTGGACTTTTAGCTTTCCCATCAGCAGTGCGTGAAAGCTAAGCTTTGTCCCAGGAGGTGCCCTCATAACCTCGCCACCTTCCCGGTCTGGCAGGCTTAACCGGATGTTTGCGAAGGCCTTCTCGAGATCTTCCAGATCCCCGGGGATCCCTTGGAGGTTGGCAACCTCTCGCGGTGCCTCCTCTTCCTTTTCTTCCTCTTGTTGTTCCGGTCCTTCTTCTACCTCTACTCTTCGCCTCGTCAGTAGCTGCCTTAGGCCTTTCAAGAGCCTAGGACTTGCTTGCAACATGGTTTGGAATGAGACCGACATCATGATCCCTAGCAGTTTGCTAAGGGTGTCATCGATCTCGGGCATAGTTAGAATAGGGATCTGGTACCGAAATTTCTTCTTCGCCGAGGTCGCCTTTTCTACAGGGGTTTCTTCCCTAGGTTTCCCGTAGACTTTCTCTGGCCCCTGTTCCTCCGCCCCTTGCGGCACCCCAGGGCCATCCCCAACATCTTCCATGATGGCGTTCTGCACGACCTTCCTTTCTGCTGTCCGCTGCCTGGTGGTCACATTCACCCTGTCTTGCCCGTCGTTTTCTAAAATAAAGTTGGCCTGCGGCCCGCGTCCCCGCGCCTGTTCGCAAACAAGATCCGTCACGGGTTCGGCTTCTGTCGTGGCGACGTCGAGCGCATCCCCCCCGGGGAGTTCCAATTTACCTTCTCTCCTTGGGGGCCTATGATTTCCCCTCGCAGCGTCCTAGAGCACCTTTTGTGCCTGATATCGTGGTTGAGCCTAGGACATGCGCGCACGAAGTGTCCAACCAACGTGCAGTACCTGCACTGCTCATTGGCTGGATCTCTTCTATTGATCCATCGACTAGCTATTCCTGCCGGAACCACAACTTCTTGAGGTGGTAGGGGGGGTCGCACCGCCTGGTTTTGCATCACCTGGGCTTGCATTACCATCAGGGTGTTCTCTACCCTTTCGATTTTCCCATCTACCCCATCAACATGCTCATGCAGGCTTTTGATCCCTCTTTTTACCTTGTCCCCCGTCCTGCCAGTCAGGTCTATGACCTCTCCCTCCTTCAGCAGGGCCAGTGAGTCGGTTACGACCATCTTCTCTGCGATATCTGTTATGGTACTAAAGTCGACGTCCCTCGTGTTCAGGAATTTCGTGGTCTGTTGGTAGGCAGACAGGGTCTTATCCTTATCGAATTCGGTGAATTGCATGAGGAAGTACTTGCTCATTATCCGGTCGGTTACCCCCGGGACGCGCAACACCACGAGAGTGAATTCCCTCAAGAAATCGTTATATGTTGCAATGTTCTTTCTTTGCACTGCGGCCAGCTTTGTCTCCGTAGCCATTTTCTTGGCCGCCAGATATTTCCGCATCATTATGTCCCGCGCCTCTTTCCAGGATCCGCTGGTTGCGACAATAACCATTATGTCCCTCCCTAGGTTCAATGACGCATGTTGCCCTAAGTGTTCCATCTTCTCTTCCTCACTCCACTTTAAAAGTGCTGCCAAGTTCTCATAGTCTATCAAGAATTTCGTGATATTTGCTCCATCGAATAACAGTTTCTTCTTGGCATCCACCAGATACCCCTGTTTCTTATTTAGCGCGCGCATGAGGGAGGACACCATTTTCTTAAGTCCCCCTTCCGTCCCTCCTATTCCACCGGTGGTGCCGAAGCCTTGTTCTTCCCTACCGGCCTTTGTCCCTCCTCCAGGCTTTGTCGTCCCTTCTAGGTCGAACCACCCAAGCACCCTCTCTCTTAGGCTCCAAAGCCCCTCACAACCCCTTGCAATTATTGGCGACACCGCTGGCCGGCTTGCCCCGCTATCTATGGCCTGCGGGTTGGTTTCCTTTTCCGCCTCCCTTCCTGGAGATTTCGTTCTCTCCTTTCCTTTCTTGGTTGGCGTCTCCCTACGCTCCCCAGCCATATACTTCTTCCTTTTTATAACATCGTCTAGGCTTCCCCGTCCCTGGTCTGTTCCTTCTTCCGACCTTTCCCCGACGAACTCCCCTTCTCCTTCGTTCATCATCTCCTCCAGGAGTTTTGCTTTATATTATGCCGTTCTCCTCTCTATCTCAGCTAGTTTCTTCCGGGTGTCCGTTAGTCTCACCTTCTTTGACAGTGCGCCTTCAGATGCTAGTGGTGTCGGACTGTCTTTATTCTTATCCCTCAGAGTTTCCTGAGTTCCTCGTTTGCTCCCTCCGGCCTTTCCTGAGCTTTCCCCGGTTGTCATCTCCTTCCTTCCTTCCTTAGTACCCTCTGGGTTTGCCGATTCCCGGTCCCTCGCGGACCCCTCGTTCTGTTCTACGTCCTTTTTTGTGCCCAGACTCTCCTTACTTCGCAAGCTCTCAGCTTGCTCAACTGTCGCCATCCTGTCCTAATCCTGCACATAGGAGAAAAGAAAAAATTACGAAAAGGCCAGTTGTTCACAGCTTCCCCGATTTCCATCCCCTAGAGTTTGTTGCCAGTTTCCCTGTCTTTGTCATTTCCATATTTTCTGCTTTACAGAGGTCTTACCAGACTTGTCTGCCTTTTCTCACTTGCGGGGCACTGCTTGGCTTTCCTGTCGGAAAGCTTGTTGTTGGGTTCCGGCGTTTTGTCACTGCCATGCCTCGATTCTAAGGCAGCATGTCCATGGCGGGTGGGTCCTCCTTTCGGAGATGGCATTTTGCCCTCCCCGCCTTTGGATACCCCTAGTGTCCTTGGTGGTAGTGACCATCCTATTCCCTTCCTGGCACACCCTTAGATAGAGTAGGGCTCCAACCACTATTCTCCGTAGATCGCTATTCTTGTTTTCATTTTTATCATTTCCTTGCTAGACTTCCTCGTTCGCCACCCTCCCCGACAGTTTTCTCATAGCGGTTCCTCAGGCTCGCCCTGTTCGTCCGGTTCTTCGAACAGGTTAGCCACTCCCACAAGGTAGTTTTTTCCCATTTCTATTTCTCTGATAATTATCGCCTCATATTCCTCAAAAGCCAAAAGTGGCGCCACAAATATCAAGATTTCGATGAGTTCGGGTAATTCACGGGCCCGATTTCCCCAAAACGGCCCATGCCTTACCGACACATCGTAAAACATCCCCGTCGTTTGTGGCTGGAAATGGTGAATCCAGGTTAGGGTCGAGCTCACCAGATCCCTTGCCCTTGAGAGACTGCCAAATATTAGATCTACCATGAAGCGGGGCACCCGACACCGCAATCCTGCCATCGGGGCTCTAAATTCTCGCCATCCTCCTACTTCCACCCGAGTTATTAGTCCTACATTCCTTCTTCCCCGAACTTCCTGACCTATCCGGTTTAGTGCCCTGGCCGCCCTCCGAAAGATCGGTAGCAGCCCATGCCCTAGTGCCATCTCGGTACCTAGCATGTGCCATCCGAGTTTGGTAGGTACATGGTCCCGGTCACCCTCAGGTCGGTGTATGAATCGTCTCCTGGTCCCCTGTTGAACTTCATGCCGCTCCTCAGGCATTCCACCATTAGGAAGGCTTGGTCCCTGCCCAAGGTCACAACCCTCCATCCGTGTCAATTCCTCGGACCACGTAGCTCGCTGGAAGCGACACCTCCCATCCATTTCTGCTTTCCATGGGTGGCCGAGGGAGTGTAGGTCGTCGCGACATCCTGGTGCGTCTCATCGCTATTGCTGATTAGCGGGTTCCTGCATAGTTCAAACTGAAAGCGAGTTTTCCCTTATTTCATCAGCTCCTTCGGTTATGGCTAGTTTATCTTTCCGCTTCTTACCTTATCCCCTTTGTCACCCTTGTCCTCCTCTCCTCCCTACCGGCCTGCCTCCTCCTTTGGAGACTCGAACAAACGATAGACATCGTCTAGGTAGGTCATTCCGCGATCTACTTCGCGCCTAATGATTCCCCACATGGTCTCCTCACTTATTCTCGAAATCCCTGGTCTAGTAGTCACGACCACCCGTAATATACACAAGACTTCACATCCCTATTCCTCCTCAAAGGGTCCCATTTCTAAGAAGGCCCGGTAATACTCTCGATACACCGATGTTTCTTCAAAGCTCAGCCTAGTCAGTGCGGCTACCACCTGCTCAACTAGTTTCGCGCCTCTCATTTGCCTTAGGCTCATCCGTACGATCTCGTTTGGCAGATCAAAGGTTTCTGCCATAGCGATTCCTACTTCTGCCGTCACGTCGTCCCGTTCCGGATCCGCGAACTCAAACCCTTCTCGCCAGTTATTTGCCGGGCTCCTTCGAGCATTCACACGGGGTGATCCCAAAGGTCCTCCATCCTTCCTCTGACAGGTATAATGACTCCGCGGCGTGCACGCGCCCAGGGAGGTCCAAATCTACACCTCAGAATTCCCTTCTTGCGCGCCATTCCAGTTCCACCAGTTCTATCCCCACTCAGTCCATTATCGGGTTGCTCACCCTGCTTCTCGCTGGCAAGCTTACCTCTATCCTGCCATCCAATGCTCTCGGCAGCAGAATCTCGCGAGGTCTGTCCTCCCAGAACGTCATTCGCCGGGCCATCCCATGATGTCTCTCTTCCTGGCTCTCCCTTGTTCGACTGCTGCATCCACCGAGATTCCGCATTTTCCTAGTTTAGTTTTTTTGTGCTCTTTACACTAGTTCTCACCGCTATTCCCGCCCCGTACTCATACAGATCCCTTCCCTCTCGCCAGTCGTCGACACCTCCTCTTGCCTGCTTGTCGGTTGTTAAGCTCATACCCATAGTACCTCGAACAATAGGAACATGTCTCCTATATAGGAGGGGGCCGCTGCCACCTCTCGGCAGAGTATTGCATCCTCGGTCCCGTCATCCACTTCGAGCCGATCCTCCTTGAAAATTCACAGGATCTCGACCACTTCCTTCGCCCTATCTCCATGGAAGGGTCCTTCTTCTAGCGAAATCCGGTAGTAGGCATCAGCCAACCATCCGAATCCTAGGTCCACCTCATCCAGAGACTCTGCCACTGCGCGGATATGTTCAAACCCGCCGAACCAATCTGCCACGAAGCGCGACACCCAAGCCTGGATTAACTGGTACGGTAGCCTAAGCTCCCCCCATCCACCTATCACGACCCTACTGTCCACAACATCCCAACCCTTGTTGGCAAAGTCATATAGCCCATATTACGAGTCTGGCGCTCGGCCTCCCCTGAGATCCACATCGGGTTTTGTCCGGATGCTAATGCTACACAAAACAGATGCCAACCCTTCTCCGACAGGTACACCGTTCCGAGGGTTTCCACATTCCTTTCGGCTATGTCATCCCATCCTTCCTCCTCCCTGACCAGGTTCCACACCCTCTCTACCCATAGAAATGACAATGCAGGCGCAATCTCCTTCCCTACCCAGTCGCAGACTGTTCCTCGCCATTCGTTTCTTGTTGGCAAGGTCATTTCTACACCCCGTTCAAGTCGTCTTGGCGCCCATCCTCTAAATATTTGCTCCCTTATGCTCTGCTCCCTAGCCATACATGTCCCCTGTACATCGCCAACCACCCATGCCACCCGTGAGCCCATCCCTCAGAAGTCCCAATCCTCAATCGCCTCATCTTCTTCTTCCTCGGTGGGATAGTCCTCCTCATACCACAGGTCCTTTAGCCCCTCTAGAAATGTTTCTCCGATTGCCATGTTCCTGTAGACTATTTTCCACTGGACGGTGCTTGGGACAAACACGTTGTCCGTGCTGAGACAGTTTAGCATCTTGGCTCGCTCCTTCGCCCAATTCCCTTCGAAATGTCCCATGTCGACTAACAAACGGAAGAAGTCCTGCCACACCCCTTGGTAGAGTCCAAGGTTCGTCATGGACTGGCATATCCGCACCAGCCTACTTCAGGTCCCCAAGATAGCGTCCACTAAGGACGGGGCCACAGTGCACCTCATCGTCCTGAGCGGCCGCCTGACGTTTCCTCTATCCCCAAGTTTCACCCGCACATCTATCTCTTCCCGCTGACCGGTCGCCCACGCTACTTCCCGTTCCGCCCGCCTGAATAAATTATACGAGCGCCAAGTCCACAACCATGGCATTCTCACCTTCCTTGGACAAGTAGACCCACCCCCGGGCTTCCACGGTCCCCCGAAATTCCAGGTCCGTCAGGCTCGGCGTTAGCCGGGTTAGGCTGACATTGGTCCACAACGTCTCTATCCAGAGGAAGATGTTCCCTTCACCCAACATTACATCGGCTCTAGGTCCGTCCTGGCCCCTTCTTCCGGCAGGACGACGGATACCCCATCTCTCATGTCGATTGGCATTTCCGGCCTGCTGGAATAGATCGGGGACGATAAGCCACCCCGCCATCTTGGTTTCAGCACCCGACCCTGTTCTCCACAGCCAAGCACTGCCCTCGGTTTTCGGGTCCGGTCAGCCTAAATCCTGGATGAGAATATTTCAGACCCCTCATCAAGGTCTAGCCTAATCTACCTCCCCAATTCCCAAATTCTAATCCCCCTTCGGATACCCTCAAGTCGGCCCTTTTCACCCAATCTCATTTTTTTGGTTCTCTTTAAGCTGACCTCTACCTCTCCGTCTTATGATCTTCACTCACTCGTGCGGACTTAGGCAGGGGTTGAGAATAGACTAGAATCATAGCCCGCCCAACGGCTCACGTCTCAGCCAATTTTACAGAGGGGGATACAAAATAAAAAAAAATTCAGGCGATCTCACACACAGGCACGATCATCTCCTCACCGACCTTTTTCCCAAGTGTTCTCTCCACTGGTACTTTCGGCAGAGTTTTATCCCATACCTCAAGCGCAGCTCAACCGTCGCGAGCGCGGTACCCAGGCTCCGGCACAGGGGGTCACCCTCACCTTCTGCCCAAAATACCCCATCCCGTCTTGCCGCTCTTGCGCACCCCGTTGGCATCGGGAATCACCCCACGCACCTCGTTAGGAGCAAAAGTCAGTCGTCCGAGCATTCACTTCCATCGGTCCGATAAGAATCAGCCTTCCTCATGCCATACAGCGGAAAGCTACTAATCGTCACCGAGGCTCCCTCCTTGCCCCGCATGCGGTGATCCTCCCCCGCCAGTCAACAGACTAAGCCCCGCCTGAGGAGACGTTTCGCACCCCGCCTGGGCAAGGTCATCGAGCCATGCTCGGACCGCCTGGGTGAGAATGCTACTAATCAACCGGCGTGACAAACTCCCGTCCGACAGCTCGGTGGCCCCACCTCCGCACACGAAACCCGACGAACTTCAAAGAGAGCGACGTTTCGCATTCCCACACCAGCTGGTGCAGACCCATCCTTTCCTTCCGAAAGGCAGGACGCTCAGTTCCCCACATGCAGATCACAAGTCCCAAGTGGGACACACATAGAACAAGTGCCTTTCCCTTAGTGCTCCCAGCGCTTCCTACCCATGCCTTACGGTTTTCTCTCAGGACTGTGTGTGTCGCTTTCCCCTAATTTCCATACACAGTCGCTGGTTCCTTTTCGTGAGCATCTTCAAGGGTGAGCTAGTTTTTTTTGGAGTCTAGCAACTCCCTTCATTCCCTTTATCTTCGTTTGTCTGTCCTTTCATAGGGTAGGATTGTTCCTTCTTGATGACCCGTTGTGTTCATGTAGGTTCCTTCAAGCATTCCAAGTGTATAGTGCATGAGCCCGCTGGGCTCAAAGAAGAAGAGAGGAGGGCACCCATTCGGCCGGATCACTCCGCCGCGGGATTTTCATTGGACCCCGACCGAAGCCGAAGGACCAACCGCCTGCCAAGTAACCGGAGCCCTTCTTTCACACGAAGAGGAAGGGTCGACCTGCGACTTGGCCAAGGCTTCCCCGGACTGGCGAACACCAGCACCGGACGGAGGGCTAGAGCCATGCCACAAGGAGATGGCTAATTAAGTGCATAGCACATGTTATACCTCCAGGCCTAACCATGCCATCCGCCCAGCCACTCTCAAGTATGATTCTCTCAAGGGGTAGAGCAAACACAAGTCCGCATTCCCTTATCTTAAGTTATGTACACGTCAATGCGTCAGGCGCCCCCTTCGGAATCGCAAGGGTTGGGTCAGTTTAACCCCCTACCCGACACCTCCACCATTTTTGTAGGGCCAAACCCGGTAGACTTTCGAGCCTTGGTCGACCCCACTGCGGGTCCCATTTGGCTCAGCCCGCCCACGCTCATGCTCAGGGCGCGGGTCGTTCGTCCCAGGGTCACCCCCACCTAGTGCTTTGAGATGGATGGGGGTGGGCCATCGAGCGAGAGGGCTTTAACATTGGGGATGTAGCTCAACCCTCACGGCGGGTGGTAGTCTCGCTGGTCGTTCCGCAAACGCTGATTTTTTTTTTTTTCTTGGTTGTGTTCTCAAGCAATTGCTCCTTCCAATACGTAGGCAGTCCAGGGGTTCTTTGAGAGTTCTTCTTCTCTTGTGCGCAGGCAAAGCGTCATTCTTAGGCCACACACCATTTCCCTAAGCATTGCAATCCTCCCCCTCGGCTCTACTCACTCCTCGAATCTCATGCATTCCATCTGCCCCTTAGTCTTTCCGGGGCCATCATATGCATGCATAGACTATTTCACAGTCCGCTTAGCAAGGTTGCATTTCTCGCTTTTTTTATTTACACTCAAGCCGCAGGCACAAGAGTCACTCCCATGGTTGGATGTTACACTAAGGGTCTCGTAGCCCCCCTTGTCCCCTCTCCCCTTTTTCCTTTGCCGCCCAGCCTCTTCCGCCCCGTCCCGCTCAAAGCATCCCAAGCCTTTACTTACCTGTGTTACGATCCTGGTCATTCCCAAAGTGCAAATTCACAATGAAAGACAATGTCACCCAATTGCGAAAGAAATTAAAGCACTTGCAAAGAGATAGAGACCAGAGGAGAGAGAAAGAAGAAGAAGAAGAAGAAGATGTACACCAGCAAGACCAATGACAATTCCCCCCTTCTCTCTCCACCTACCTCCTCCTCCTTCACTTCGCCAATTTTATTCTTCTCCCAATAATAATAATAACAATGATTGGATGAACCTGAATCAATATCCGAAGTTCCCTCTTACTGCTGACTCAACAACAACAACAACAACAACAACAACAACACTATAGCTATGGCTTCCCTCCTTCTGCCTCCTCTCACATGAATAGGCTATGGCGGACTACTAAGGGGTTCTTCCCTACTGTCCAAAGGACAACCCAAAGCAGCTATGGTGCTGCGCTCCTGTCCAAAGGACAACCCAAAGCAGCTATGCCGCTGCTGACTGTTCCGCCATGCCTGACTCTGCCTTGAGCTTCCTTGGTGCGGCACTACCCCAACTGGGGCCTTCCAGATGCAGCGCCCAACAAGGTGATGAAGACGGTGTCCACCATAGCCAGGTAGGTGCCTCACCACTCTCCTCCTTCGCCCCCTTCTTCCTCCTCCTCAGGCTGGGCTGCTCGCCATAGCCAGGCTGAGCCCCAGCTGCCCTTCACCTCCAAGCAGAGTTGTATCAGTCCAGCGTTGTGCTCGAGCAGCATGTCGCCAATCCTTGCATACCGCAATTGAGGAGCTACTTGCTCCTCCAGAAGATATAGCGGCCTGCTGGCCTCTTGGGCGGTGACTTCCTAGGCCGAGCGGCCTCCCAGCAATCGGTACCTCCTC